ACTTGTATTTTTATAACTGATTTCAGAGAATTTATTAATAAGTATATATTATTTCAATAAAATAGTAACAAAGTATTTTATCATCAATATTAAAGTTTTTATTAATTCCTATTTTTTAAATTCATATTTAAGAAACAAGTCTAAAGCAAATAAATTCTTAAATACAGATTGGACTTCACATACTTATAATCATAGATTTATATTATCCTGTATACTACTTCAATAATTACATCTTAATAATGTAATAATTATTAATATAAAATTATAAAATTTATATTAGTTTTTTTTTATTTGCATTGATGTTTCTACTGGCGATTTTTTTAGGAGTATTATTAATTAGATAATATAACTAGCAGTTTTCAAAGGATATTATATTATATACTACTGATTTTTCATCAATTTCTCCACCCATAGTAATACCTTCAAAAAATAAACGAACCTAAAAATAAAACATTTTAGCAACCAAAAAAAAAAATAAAATAAAATAAAGTAAATTTGAAAGTATAATGTTTCTAAACCTGATTATGATTTTTTTTCTATACTTAAAGTAGAGAAAATTTGTAAAGAAAAGCCCTTTTCTTTTAGTTATCGCAAAAACTGAGATATATGTTTTGCAAAAATATGTATATAAGAAGTAATATCATCCTTTTGATATAAACTAAGAACTTGAATAGAACTATTCATATGATTTTGAGTTAAGTGGCAAAACATTTGAATCCAATTTTAAGTATCAAGTTTAAATTGATTAATTTCTTAATCTAAAAGGGATATTTTATTTAAAGTTCTATATAAATTATAAAATTCTCATCACAATTTTTCTATATCTTCACCACGAATACTCAAAATGAATTGTGATAATGGAAATTTTTCTAGTATCTTCTTTTTATCTGAACCTATTAAAGAAGTCTAATTTTATTGCTTTTCAGTTGACTTGGACTGAAAAAATTCAAAATAAACTTTAATATTTTTAAATGCTAATTCAATTGCTGGTTTGATCTGTTTTTGAAATTCTTTTTTTTTAATTAAGTCAATAATTAAACATTCTATTAAAATGTCTGATATACGTGAAAATAGATGTAACTCATCTGGTATATAATTTTCTTGATCAAGTACTAAAAATATAGATGCTTTTTTTTCACCTAACAATTAATATTATATAAAATTAATTGTAATATTAATTTATTAATAAAATATAACAATACATAATATATTAAAAAAATTTATATTTTGTGTTTCCTATATTATTTCATATCTTATTCATATCTCATTGTAATAATGCTTCACAATTATAATATAGACAGAAATATTTGAAATTGAACACATTTAAACTCATAATAATATATATAAGTTTCCAATCTTCACTAAAAAATAGTTCAATCGGCTAATGAATATCTTCTCGATCAACAATTTTATTATTTTTTAAATCAAATAACTGATGCTGAAATAATTGTTCATCCTTTGATAAATCTTCATATTTTTTACGTCTAATATAAAGACAAATACTATGTTTATATAAATAATTAATTAAATAATTAAAATTATAAAATATTAATTAAATAATAAATAATTACCAATATTGATTATTTAGCTTTAAAACTTCTTTTCCTTTGTTCAATATACAAAATGTTATCATTACATATTTCTGTTTATGACCTATATTTTGATCATTACCTCCAATTTTAAGTTTAATTGCATCTCCTTATTTAAGAACCTATAAGGAATTATTTTCTAAATTGAAATTAATACTTTAAAGATAATTTTAATTGACCTATATACACTATTTCTAATTTCAGATTCTTAATTAATATTTCTTCTTCAGATCATTTATATACAAATTTATCATTATTAAATTAATTACTATCAATATTAAATATTCCTATCCTAATTTCTTTATTAATAATATTTGTAATATTAATTTTATGTTTTCTAATATGATATTCATGAATAAGATTAGGTTCAACTGCAGCTAAATTATGATAACTATTTCATGATAATAAGAATTTATCACATGCTCGTATAAAAGTATCTAGTTTCTTAATATCTGTAGTTTTATTAGAAAGTTGATAATTCAAATTAACAGTTTCTCTATTATAATCTAATTCTATATTATATACATAAATCATTGGCTGTTTATCTTTTATAATCATATTATGTTGTATAATTAATAATGAAAGTTTTTGCTCAAAATCTCTACCAAAAGCTGCAAACTGTTTATTTTGTTCTGATTTAGATTATATCATAGAAAGGGAACATTTTCTAGATATTGTAGGTGTAATAAAATGATTTAATCTATGTTAATATAATTTTCTTATATCTAATCTAAAAACTCGAGGATCTGATAACTGTGAACTAGTTTGGTTTATTTTCTAAATAATAATTAAATTAAATTAAATTATTTATTTTATTATAATATTTATTATATAAATTTAATGTATAAATACATGTAAAAATGCAGTAACCACTCTAGATGTAAATTTTTCGCTATAAACACTCCATTCAATATTATTTTTTTTCTAAAAGATGAAATACTTTGCTTTTTGATTTAAAATATATTTAATTTTATAACGAAACTTTCTATTTCCTAATTTAGTCTTGATAATATAATTATCAGATATCCAATACTGAATCCTCCTTTTTTGTGTCATTATAATATTTATAGGATAATATCTTAAAGATATTACATTATATCATGAGATAAATATTATACTACCTATTTTATACATTGTAATAATATGAGAAAAATTTGAATAATCTTCATTGAAAGTTCTTGTTGAGTAGTTATTTATAAAATTCTTTTAATATTAATTCTATTTCTGAAAAATAAATAATAATAATATTATAAAAAAAATACCAAAGTTTTGTTCATTTAACATAGTTACTCTTATTTATTTTAATAAACTAAAAATGTTGATTTCTTTTTGATTCTTATAAATTGATCTAAAACTAATCTAGAATTTATTTTAGTGATAAAAAGATAACGAAATTGCAAAAGTTCATAAAATCTTATGATTATCTAAAACTTTTACTTGTTACATGATTTATTTATTATATTACAGATTTATATTATTTATAAAAATTTTTTAATATAAATTAAATTCATTATTCTGATATAAGTGATAAAATAAAATAAAGCTAAATTAGCCCATATGTTTTTTAGCAATTTTAAAAAGAATTAATTTTAATTTCATATATTAAAAACAAAAATAAACAAAATATTTTTCAATAAAAAAATTTTTATTAGGAGTATAAATATTTTTAAACTTTATTTAATTATTCATTTAAACTATTAATAATATTTTTATATTAAATATTTTAATTAAAATTAAAAAATTTTGAATTTTAAATGGATCTAAAACTTTTTTAACTTTTGAATAATATTATTAATCATTTTCAAATTTTGTATTTATTATTTTTAAAATCTATTTAGAATTTTTTATTGATATTATATAAAAAAAAAATAATCTAATTGTTTGCTTTGTTAATAAGATAATTTATTATAAAAATTTAACCAAATAAAGTTCACATGTCATATAATAATATTAATTAAAAATCCTATTTTTAGTTAAAAGGATTCTAATAACTTAATTTTAATAGTTTAGTTTTCATTTACTTCTTATCTAAAAGTTTAAAATCACCTAACAAATTATAGAAATTATTGATTATTTTTACAAATTAGTATTTTAATCAATTTTTTTTTTAATATTTTTATTTTATATATTTTTTTTATAATTTATTTCAATAAAAAATAAAAAAATTTAATAAAAATTTTTTTTTTAAAAAAAATCATATTAAGAAATTAATCTGCTATATATTTTTTAATAAAAATATATTAAAAATATTTATTAATATTTAATAAGATATTTACAAGCATTTATAACTATTTCAATTTTATTTTTTATATTACTAATTAATTTTTGATAATTTTTTTTCTAAATCTATAACTAATATTCTTATAGAAGAACTTTCAATTTTCTCAAATTTTTAGATTATTTCTTAGACTTTAATACAATATTTAAATTTATCTCATAGGTATTCTATAGGATTAAGATCAGGACTCTGTCTTAATCAATATTGATTACTTTTATAAGTCAAGTTATTTTTGACTGAACTTAAACTATAAATCAATTTACTGAAATTATAGTCTAACTTTATAAGTTCATTAGTCTAATTTAATCCAATTAATTATATTGATATTAGCTATAAAAATAAGTTATTATTATTTTTTTAATAAAGTTTTATAATTATACATTAATATAAATCAGTACATTAACTTGTTAAAGAAGATAATTATCATTTTCTTCTTTAAACTCTTCTAAAAATAATACTAAATGATAATAAAAATTTTATTTATATATCTTTACTATTAACTTAACTATTAATTCTTATTAAAGGATCTAATTTATATCAAAAAAATATCTTCACATTAAAATATTATTATCATCATATTTTACAGTTAGAATAAAATTATTGATATTAGATTTTTTTTTTAAAAGATATTATACATAAACTTTTTTATTACTTTTTAAAATAAAATAAATCTGGATTTATTACTTTAAATAATTTTTTCTAATCATTAATAATCTACAAATGCCTTTATATATCCAGTTTAAACAAATCTTTCAAGTAATTTTATTATTATTAGATTTTTTAAGAATTATGTAAATATGATATTTTATTTTATATAAAGAATATCTAATAGTATTCTTATTTATTTAATTTCTAGTAAATTCAAAAAATTTTTTATTGATTTTTTTCTATAGAATTATAATAGTTTTTAATAATTATTTAGAGTTCTAAATTTGACTTAATAGATTAAATAATTAGATAGGTTAATCTGAAAAGTTCAAGTCAGATTAAGTGGAGTATCTGATCTAATATAACCTTAATTTTTTAATTAAAAAATTCAAAATTTAATAATATTATCAATATTAATCCATTTAAGATAAATAATTACCATTCGAATTCTCATATAGAAATGAATTGAATAAACTATATTTGATTCATTTTGAATTACTAGTTGCTAAAATAAAGCTTGTTTAATTTTACTATATAAAATTTTAGAACATATTATAAATTTATATATAAATATAAAATGGTATATAACTTTGTCAATATTAATTCATATAAGATAAAATAGCTACCATTCAATTTGTCACATAAAGATAAATCTAATAAACTATATTTTGTTTATTTTAGATCACTAGATAGTAAAATAAACTGAATTTTTAATTTTTTTTAATATAACCTGTAATATGACCTGACCTGATTTGATACTTTAAGTCAGGTAAAATAAGATACCCAATCATTTAAAGCTCTATAACTATTACTTTAAATAACATTTATCATATTCTGATAATTTTTTAGATTGTTTATTTTTAGAAGTAATAGAAATATAACTTTATTTACAGTATTTTACAATAATATTATAAATAGTTATTTTTAAAATCAGTTTTTTTTATAATATTTCTTTCAGAATTATTAGATTTAAAAACTAATAATTTTATTATGTTTAAAATTTATTAACTCTTTTTTTACTATTTTTTTAAAAAAAAAAACTGTTAAATAATAATTAATATAAATACTTATTATTGATTATCATATGGGACCTTTGCAATAGAAAAGGGGGAAACGGCTGGAAAAAATAAAAATTGAGTTAATGTTAAATCTGAACTTATTTTAACCTAAAAATCATATTTGGCTTATAAAAGTAAAATTGATTTTTTCCGGCTGTTTCCCCCTTTTCTATTGCAAAGATCCCATATTACAAATATTTATATAATTTTTTTAATTATATGAAATTGTGCAATCATAAATTTTATATAAATTTTCAGAAGTGTTTTAACTTTTAGGTAGGAAGTATACTAATAATATTTAATACTGCTAATTGTAAATCATCATTTGTTTTTTAGATTATTTTTAATTTAATATTCTTTTATATAATTTATTAAAATATAAATATATATTTTTTTATATTTTTTAAAATACTGAATTTTATTTACTATATCCTTTTTAGTCAATAAAGCCTATGTGATATATAATGTATCAAAGTAAAAAATGAATTTAATTTCTTTAATTTTACTGTTATATTATATTTATATTCTATTATAAAATAATTTTAATAAATTATCTTTTTAAAATAAATTTATTATTTTAAATAAATTTTAAAATTTGAGTTACAATATTATTTGTATTACAATTTTTAAGTTCAATAATCTGATATATTTTAATATAGAAATATTATATGAAATACATTTAAAATTATAGTTAAATATTTTTCATCAGAAATAAAGTAGTTTATCAACTATAATATTCTAAAATAGAGATTTATTAATTTTTCTTATTTATTACCTATTTATAACATTATTAATTTGCATAATTTTAAATATATTTACATAACATCGTCAAACATCACCATCTTCTATAAATTTAATATAAATAAGAATTTTCATCTTGTTTTTGAAATTTGTTTCTCAGAAAAGTTCTTCTTCAAATATTTTCAAATGTATGCTTCCAATCACTAGAATTGAGATGTCAGTAAAAGTTAAGCATCCAAATTCACATGAAATATTTTTCTAATTTGAAATTTCATGATAAGCTTCATGGAATTTATTATCCATCCATCTGTTTCAATAATTACAACATCACTAAGTATAATGAAATAATCACAATTTTCATGATATTCTTTATGAGTCAATTCCCTTCAGATATCATAAATAGAATTTGAAGGAAAATCAAATTCTATCGGTGAATCTATATTTGTGAAGGATTTTTTTTCGCAAGATTATTTTAGAGTGAATAAACATGTGAATTCTCCTTATCTATTCTAGTGGGTAAATATAATGACATTTTTCCCATAGTCAAGTAAGAAAAACTACTAATAATCAATTAAGTCAGTTAATATTGCAATTAGTTCTGCTATAACTTTTACCCTTTTAACAACCTTTTTTAAATTTAAAAAGAGTTTGAAAATTAAACTAGAAATTGAAAGAATGCCAATAGCATTAGTTGTATCAATAAGTTTGATAGTTAAAGTTATGAGATAAAGTAGATATCTGTTACTGCATTACATTTATGTAATTTTCACTGACCGATCAGTTTCTTTTTTTTAAAAAAAAAACTCTTAGGATTAATCCATTCAATGATAAAATATGCCAGAACCTTTTAATTGTTTATTGATCTAGTCCTATATTCTAACCCATAGATTTGCAAAATATGATAGCATTTCATAAGACCTTGGCCCTGGCTTTATTACAAAAATAGCAAATTCTAGCTATTATTACGAAAATAGCATATCTGGATCTAAAAATAAAAAACTTCTCGCATGACACAGTAGCATATGTCCAATATCGCTGATATATTTACTGCACATGATAAAGGAAAATTGGCAAAAATTTTCCTAAAATCGTATTGCGTATTTCAGGTAATTGATTCACTTGCAATTTCATTCATGCTTAATAGGTATCAAAAATTAATAACATCCCGCTCCATACTCATACAGCATTTACATGTTAAAAAACATAAACCTGTGTGACATTTATTAATATTAGTATGCAATCAATAAATTAAATACATTATTCTTCATGTTCAAATTTTGAACTACATATGTAATAATAAAGATATTATAATACATTTTGAAAAAGTTTTCTTTTGATTTCATCGAAAGTAACATGAGCTATTTCAAGAAACTTTTTACCTTTTATCGAATGCTTAGCAGTACTGGATGAACCTTGAATATAAACGATTTGAAATTCAGGTTTGTATTTGCTATTTTTGGAAACATTAAACTTACAGCTTATAGGATTTATTCTAACAGAATGGGTGGGTCCATATATCTCGTCCAAATATATTTCAATTTGGTTTCTTCTATTAATATCATTTGCAGTGATACCAGCTTATGAAAGTATTAGTTCAAATGCTTTCTTAATATTTTTTGATGATTTGCTGTTATGTTTAGTGAAGCCACTAATTAATACTTGTATAAATATGATTTTGAGCATAAAGTCAAATTGAGGATATCCATTGAAGCTATGATCTAAAACTTTATCACAACCAGATCTAAAGGATAAGTTGGGTTACTTTATTATTGTATAATCTTCAAATTCAATCTTAACAGGACTTGTTTTTCTATTATTAAGATCCATTGTCTGGAGGAGTATTGTCGTATTAGATCTGGATACAAGCCTATTGAATAGGGTTTTCTCAAATGATTTATATATCTTTAAAAGGGCTTTCTGAGCTGATAGATATATTAGAAGATAATGAGTAAAATCTCCATCCCTATGAAACTGGTAGATTAACCTAAGATCTAAAAAATGCTAACCAAATTGTATAGTGGATTTATTAAGAAGAAAAATACTTGTTAGGGCATCATAATAGCAGTTTTTACTATTTTTTTGAGACTGTTATAGTATTCTTGAGCAAGATTGAGTAACTGATCAGTCTGCACATCTCTAAATTTATTTAATATTTGTTGAAAGAAGTTTACATTTATAGTATCTACATCAAGTTTGTTTATATATTTAACAAGATACATTAGTTCACGTGATATGCAATTTGTAGCTTCTTTCACTTTTTCTTTAATGCCTGATTTCTTCAGAAGAGGGTGCATAACTAACAATATATCAGATACGTTGTCCTCTAATGGGTTGATATAAATCATCTACCATATGTTCTAACCATTTTTCATGTATTTCATCTCATACTTTGCGTGTGAAATTCCTGTAAAAATTACACATACACCCTTATAATGTTTAGTCCAAAAAGTAAGGTTACTCAGTGGACTTAAAAGATAAAGTCTTTTAGGTACTGGAGGATCTTCTTTGAATAATATTCTATGCTTGTCGATGACAAAAGAGTCTTGCGCTCTACTTGTTTAAGTAGCTCTCCCAAAATTATTTCAGCAACGATAATGAAATTCTTTTTAAAAGAAAAAGTAATATTCTTCACAAGCATTTTAAGCTCATTACCAGTTAAAATATCCCTATTTAGAGTCAAAAAGTACTTGCAGATAACCTTTCCCGCTTTCTCCAGTGTATTCACATCTAACTCAGCTGCATCTGTGATATAGAGTATTTGCCATCCTTCAGCATATGCCCTTGCGATAAGGTATAACATGATGTATGACTTCTCTATGCCTATTGGGCCTGACAGGATACGTTTGAAAAAATGAAGTTGATCTTTTGAAATATTATTCCACACATTAATCATTTGATTTGTAACATAGAGTTTCCTTTTCAGGTAACTCTCAGCAAAATGTTTTGATTCCTGACTGAAATTTGGGAGAATAAAATGTTGACCAACTTGAAGATTCTTTATTGCTACAAAACTGATATGTGGATCAGAGGCGAATTTGCTACTGCTAAGCATGTTAAATATTTTAAGTGGAATTTGAATATATTTATTATCGAAAATTTTGTATTTTTTGCATTCTATTTTTCTGCATTTCATTATATGATCTGTGAAGCAAAGGAAAGTTTTGAGTATTAGCAAATATGATGTAGAGCAATGAAACAATGGCTATCAAAAATTTAGCACATCATGTTTGTATTGACCAATTATTACGAAGCAATGGCTTACCTTAATATTCTGTATCTAAATTGAGTTAAGTAATCAAAAAGGTTAGTAACTTTACAGACATTTGTATTATTAAACAATTAGAATAATTACCTGAAAACCTTACTCTGATTGGGTTATCTTCATCAATTTCATAAACCTCTGTTAATTTGATAAAGTTCTTTTGATAATCCTTAAAAATTGCATTATTCAAAGTGATACATTGTAAATCAGTCTTCTTTTTTACATATAAAGTTAGATTTGATGGCCCACAAGTCAGTTTTTCTTCTTTTGATATTGCTTTAAAGAGATCAATATAATCATTTCTAGGAATTTCAGTGATTTTATTTACGTGATAATAACTTTGATTTAAAATTAAATAGGTTTAGAGAGACTCATTTTGTGATATAAAGTGTTAGTGATTGAGTAAAATATTAGTAAAAAGAATTAATTAAATAAATAAATGAAAAATAAGTGTTTTATATATGACTCAAAAGTTTAACTTTTATCACGTCATAAACTTTGTTGAAAACGCGTTTTATAAATCTAAAGTATATTCTTATTAATATTGGTTGATATAGAAATATCTTGATTATACAGATCTTGTAATCTTATACAAGATTACGATTAAATTCAATGTAAATATGTTTAATCATACATCATATTCATTATCACAAAAAAGATTTTCACTATGTAAACTCGATGATGATTCCTTAGTAATGAATATTATGAAGTGCATGGATAATTTGCCGTAATATTATTAATTTATTTTTCCATTCAATACTATAAAGTTTTTGGTAATATAATGCTTTAAACCATATTTATAATATGTCATATGATATAAATACGGTACTTTCTGATCATGATTTACACACATGGATTTTAAATATCTTATAAAGTAAAAATTTTTTTTTGATAGCTTCGCATTCAATAATTTATCTTATATTTAGAAATCTGTAATCACATAATCAGTTGTATCAATAAAGAATAACATGTCTCAATAAAAAATAACGCATTTTAAAAATTTATTTTTAGAATCAGTAATCATGATAATTTATAAAAATAAATAGTGATGTAAATAAAAACATTTTACATTATGTGTCTTTGATTTTATTATAAATGCTCTCCACCTCACCTTTTAAAAATTTTAACTTTTTCTCTCACTTCTCAAAAACTTACACCATTTTTTCTTTTACCTCTCCTTATATATTTTACTTCACCTCCTCAAATTTCAAAATTTTTTTCCTTTATCCTTCCCTTATAAATTCTCACCTCTCAAAAAGTTCAAAATTTTTTCCTTTATCCTTCCCTTATAAATTTTACTTTACCTCTCAAAAAAATTTTAAAATTTTTTCCCTTCCCTTATCCTTCCCTTATAAATTTTACCTACCTCTCAAAAATTTCAATATTTTTTTTTTTATCATTCCTTTATACAATATATTTTATAATTCTCGGTATGTATTTTTTATTGAATTTTTTAAATGCATTACTTTCTTTTCTGAAGTTTCTTTTATAAGTATTATTTTTTAGGACCATATACTAATATAAAAAACTTCTCTAAAACTTCTTTATAATGAAACTCTCCAGACTGATTGCGAGGCTGAGGTCTACTGATATTAAAGATAGTTTCAGTTATGTTTCAAGCGGCCAATTTGATTTAGGCATGAAAATAAATATATCATAGGATAACCCTCAGTGTCCTATTATATATATTTTTTTACTATTCTCAAGCAGTAGATGGATAGATGGAATGGCAAAATCTGAAGAAAGAAAATCAGAAATGAGGATATTACAGTTAGTGTGTATTTTTATTAAAATTTTTTTATTAAATTTTTTTTTTTTTAAAACTAACTAATTTGATTATATTAATTTTCTAATAAAAATTATCAAGCGGCAGATGGATGGATGGACGTAGTGGAATGAAGATTGGAATTTGAAGAAAGAAAATCAAGAGCGAGGATATTGTGATATAGATTTAATTTGATTTTTGGTTTTTGATTTTTTGAATAATTTCTTATTATTTTTTTTTAATTTTTAATTAAGGATAGGATGGGATGAGATGGAATATAGGAATGTAATAGAATTTATAGGAGGGGAACAAAGATGTATTTATAATTAAAATATAATAAATTTATATAATAAATATTTAATAAAATTTTTTGATTAATTTAAATTAAAAATACAATTTGATTTATTTTATTAAATTTTGTTTTAAATGTTTCATTTGTTTGACAATTGCTATTTTAATCCTTAAAAATTTATAACTATAAAGATAAATTATTTCCATCATTTCTATTTTATAAAAAAAAAAAAAAAAAAAAAAAAAAAAAAATGATGCAAAAGTTAAGACTAAAAATAAAAAAAATTGATATATTTAATATTTAAATTTATTTTTGAAGGTTCAAAATTAAAATCATGTTCATAAAATTGATTATTAATATCAAATAATCTATTTATGTTCTTTCGACATTAAAAAATATTTTTTAACTTTTAAAAAATTTAATTTTATATAAATTATATAAATTCTTACAAGTAATTTAAATCTATGAATAACTACACTAGTATGATAGTGAACTTACATAATTTCATTAAAAAATAAAATAAAAATAGATATACAGTATATATTATTTATCTTGAAACTTCTGCCCTTAGTTGAAATTCATTCTTACCAGTTGAAAAGATAATTAGTTTCAAGCAATATAAAGTTGCATCATATAATTTTTACACTAGGTATAAAGAAATTCTTTTTTACGTATGAAAAGATGATTGTTAAAACTTTGGACAAATGTGTGATTTTAGTTACAGAAGAAAATGATTATATGATATGTTAAGTTTTTTTTTTGCTGAAAATGAAATATCAAAAACCTAAACTGAAAGTACAAATACAAAAGAATATGAATTAATACTATATGAATATAATTGTCTTCAGGGAAGATATGTAACAAAATGATTATATGATCAAGGGTACTACGTTCGTGTAATCAATTTGTATGATGACCTAATATTTCGTCTTTTTAAGAGCACTTCAGAATCCTGTTCAAAATTTATTGAAGATATCCGTTCAATTAATACTTGCCATAAAATATTTATTAAAAATGATATAAAATTGTATTTCATTTTATAGTCAATAAAGAAGAATTGAGAATTAAGCGAAATGAGGTTAAAAGATAAATTAATGTTTTTAAATATTATTCAAGTTTCGATGGATTCAAATATTGATAAATTCTTATATGCTTCAACCGCTTGCATTTATCATTGTAATAATGAAATTAAATTAACGAAACTCAAAGAGTCTTATGAAAAAGAAAAATTAAATACTGAACTTATATCTGGTCCAGTTTAATGGAATCATCTGCCTTATTGAAAGATAGACAAATTACTCAAAATTTACCTCAATTCAAAATTGCAATATTTTAAAATGTTTATAGAGAAAGCAATACTTGGTATGATGGAGAAGAGAAAGCTCCTGCTGATTATTAAGAAAAGCTCTTTGTTCGAGTATTTATACAAGAGAAAGAGAAAATGATATTGAAATCTAGAGTGACGGAAAATAATAACGTAATTTCTTGTATATAGAAGATTGCATCGAGGCAGTTATCAAACTCATAGAATGTGATTTAGCTCTTACACTAAACATTGATTCAAAAGAATCAATTAGTATAGAAGAACTTGCATATGTCACGTTTGAAACAATTGACGTATCACATAATATAGCAACTTTGAGATTTGTTTAAGATAAGCCTATTGATGTAAATAATAGAATCTCTGATAATGCTTTATCTAAGTATTTAAATTGGATTCCAAAACATTCTTTTCATGAAGGAATGAAAAAAACTTCTTTGTAAGTTTGACAGAAGCTGAGAAGCAACGAATTCAATATAAGAATGATCTGATTGGATGAAATAAATTAATCGCATCATATCTTAAAAATAATTTGATTAGATTAACTTTATAATGAGATTATAACGTTTGGAGCACTTTTTTTCAATATATTTTCGAGAGGAACATGAAGAATTCAATGAGAAACTTTCAAAATTTACAAAGAGTCTTTATATGACTTCACAGGAAGGTATTCAGAATAATGTAATTTGAAATATTTTTCTTTGAAATGCTGGTTAAGTTGATGTACTTGGCTCTTCACTTAATGTAATCATTTGCTCAGATTCTTCCATAATTTGTTCAATAAAATCATCAGCTTCATGTCCTGATAAAGAGCCAGGCAATTCCGCACTAGTACCATTTCTAGCATCTTCTATAGTTGCATTCATTCTTGCATCTGTTGTCTATTATGTTCAATTGATGAACTATCAATTTGTTCTGATTGTGAAACTTTTTATTCATTTCTAATAATCGTTTAATAAATCCTCCATAAGTATTCTTATTATCTTGTTTTGACCTTTTAACTAGAAGCTATAACTATGGTAAAAACTCCTACTAATGATGGAGATATATAGTTTCTCATCCCTGTATGAAGTACACCGTTATATAGTGTCATCAGAGGTTAAATATAATCTGTATATAAATATGGTTCTGCATAATATAAATCATCTTCTAATACGTTTCATACTAGTTCGTTATTGTTATTCTCATTAAGATTTGATGAGGTGTTAGCTGAACTTCCTATCAGAGTGTCAACTACCGCTACTTTTTTACCAGAACCTTGTGAACTTGGTTTAGACCTGACATCAAATCTAACTTTAGATAATTTTTTTGATCTTCACGTATGCTTTTCAATGGTATAAATCTCGAACTTCTATCATATACTCCATTCACATGATAAGAGCAAACACCCGTAATAACAAAAAGGGGTACGATTATTATAGCAAAATGAAATGATTTCTTCAATGACATATATCCAATCATTAATAGTTGAAAAATATATACGCCAACCATAATTCTTCAGAAGATCTTTGGCCATAAAAGTTCAAGAAGATTCATAAGGGTGGTTGATACTATAAACTAAATAAATTAATTCATTAATTTAATGTACAATTAAAACAAAATTAACATACCATATAACAATAAATATTTAACCAAAGAAAAAGTAAATTGTGCCAAAAAAAAAAAGGATAATTGGTGCAAGTGATGAATATACAAGAACAAGAACAAAAACCAGTACAATAGGTGCTAATTCTTGTCCATAATCCATAAGTGGTGGAGTGCTGCCTTTGGAAAACTTGAAGAACAACATAATTGATAAAGAATGGGGATACCTATATAATCAGAGATTTGTTAATTTTTTTTTTTTTTAAAAAACAAAAGGTTGTAAAAATGTTTGAAAAAAAAAATGGTGAATTACTCGAGGTAAGCTTTTCGCCAAATAAGTCGTACCCAGGTATATTGTTAATAATGTCTTCAAGTGCATTAAATATAAACAATAAGAAAAAGAAATATCTAAATGAGATCCTAACAATAAAATTAATTAATATGATCGATCAATAGTTTAAATATATTAAAAGTATAATTCATTAATGACGCACAGATAGGGATGGGAACGATCCGATCCAGACCGAAAGACCAATGGTCCAGTCATAGGACCGGTCTTATACCAATCTTTTTCGGGACGGATCGACAGGATTGATCGGTCTTTTTTTAACGGTCTTATAAAGATGGTCTTTTCGTCTTATTCTTTTTATAAACGATAAACTACGCCAAGTGTAACAAATTTTGAATTTACAATCAAAAAATGTCGTCTGAATATTAGCGAAGCTGATTCTTTTCTTTCCTTAGCTTCCACTCATTCTCAACCTTCAGACTAAAAATTAAAGCTGTCAAATTGGATTATTGAAGGACAAATTAAATAAGGATATTGAAAAAAAAAATGATGGGTCGGAGGGTGAAATTATAGTAGTTGAAGATAATTAGTATGAATTGATATATATATCAATATATGGAGTAATTGTAATTTTGAAATTTAATGAACATTATTCAATAAAATATGTTAAATTTTTTTTTTGTTAGATCGACGGGATCTTATGAGACCATTGGTCTCGGTCTCAATCCGATCTTTTTTCAAAGACTGCTAAAGATCGGACCAGATCCGACCGGATCGGACCGTTCCCATCCCTGTTTAGGATAAAGGTCTACCCCCACCTTATATTAAGGATGCTCGTGAAATACCGAGAAAATCTGACATAATATTAGGCAGTAATTTGACGCAGTATTTTATTATTGATGTTTGACGCAGAATGGTACTTGAGATAAAAAAATCAAAAATATATCTTCACATTAAGCAACAAATTTCATGAATATAAGACAGAATGGAATGCTGCGAAAATGATTGTAGTGGTAAATGTGAATCGGAAATATTGCATTGTTTATTTTTATCTCAATTGCTAATCTCTGGAATTTCTGCTATAGGTTCAAAATTTTCCATCTCGGTGAAGTTTGTTGTGTAATTTAATACTTTATATGGTATGTGTGGGTTTAAATGATATCAATATACATAGATATAGGTGGATTTATTTTGAAAATCTAGTTTAGAAAAAGTGTATAGGGGTGAAAATCTCATAATTAGCAAAGTAGATAGGTGTATAGAAAGAAAGAAACAAAGTTACATATAGAAATCCGCATACTCTCTCCCTATTTGATAGCATTATATATTTGTATATTCTGAAATTTTTAAAAAAAAATCAATATTCATCCGGATGATATTTGATATTTTGTTGATGAATTTAACTGAAATTGTAATTCATCTGAAATTTTTTAAGAAATTCTGAAACTTTTTATTTCAGATAGGAACTTTGAGATATTTCTGTATTGGTATCTGAAATTTAAATTCAGACGATCACAACAAATCTTTTATTTTAAAACTTTAATGGGTCACGCTTTCAAAAGAAACTCAATAAGGTTCGGCATGACTCGGAATAAAATAAAAACTATTCGAAAAGTGCTCCAAATCTAATGATATAATGTATATTTGCCTTATTCTGAGCTTTATCGAGTTTTGCCGAGTGTGCTGATTTCTCTAGGTGTCCCGTATTATGGATTTTGCTGTACTAGGTAAGAAACGGAAACCGTTAGAAGTCCGAACAAAACAAAGACGGCCGTCATTTGTTAGCTTGTGTCGATGACGTGTAATGCAAAAAATCATTTGATACCAACAGAGATTCTTGAGTAGAATTGAAATATCCTCCGATACAATTCAGACAGGTAATCAAGAAATCGCGTTAAAATTGACTATTCTCGGGTATATAGCAAACTGTATAGTATGGTTTGAATGTACGTATACATATATGGGAGGATTTCTAGGAAAATCAGGTTCCGAGAATTTTTGACTAAAATTAAGAACTTAATGCATTTTAATCTAATAACATCAAAAACTAAATTGCAATAAAAAATCTCAATTTTGTTAAAAAATTACCAAATTCCCGGAACCTGATTTTTCTAGAAATCAACCCATATTCGAAACCAGGTTTGTGTAATATCCCTATTCACGACATCATTATATCTCCCTTTTTTTTGAAATCTCAAAATAATGACAGGTTTCTTATTATAGCTCAATTTTAGCAATGATAAGTTTTTTTTTTAATGATTATCTTTTCAAGATTTTTTTAAAAAATATTTTATTTTTTGCATAAGGAAGGAACAAAAATAATGGTTACACGAAAATGATTAAATAATAAAACAAATTGTTCTTTATTCGCACTCAAATGAAAGTCCATATTTGTATGGTGCAACAATGACAAATTCATATTGAACTACGTATTTTATTTTCGCCAGTTCTCTTTTTTTCTTCCTTAAAAAAAAAAAAAAAAAAAAAAAATTATGTTGAGTGTTGAAGATTCAAATGATGATGCCTGGTTAAAACAAGCAATCGCCAAAGAACATATCAAATACTATGAGTATTCGGACTTCAAAAATATACAATCGATAGGTAGTGGTTCATTTGGAAGTGTTGTTAGTGCCAATTGGAAAAATACAGATACTGTATTCGCCTTAAAATCGTTTAATAATCAAAAATCAACTCTTAAAGGAATTGTCAGAGAGGTAAGAAATTTATAATTATATTAAAGCTACTCGTTAATTGATTAAATACTTTATTAATCGCTATTTTTATTTTATACATTACAGTTAAAATTACATCGTACCGTTCATTTTCATCAAAATATATTAGAATTTTACGGAATCACAAAGAAAGATCCTGGTAAGTATAAGTATCAAAGAATAATAATTTTATATTTACGTCAAATTAATTTAATGTTAAATTAAAAAAATGTTTTTTTTTCTCATTAGACGAAATGAGCAATTACACTTTGGTTTTGGAATATGCTGATAGCGGTACGTTAAACAGCTATCTAAACGATCATTTTGATGAATTTAAATGGTATGACAAAATCGGCCTGGCGTTGCAATTGGCGAATGCTATAGAATGTTTACACGAAAGTAACATTATTCATCGTGATCTGGTAATATTCTGTCAAACGTTATATGCTTGTAAATACAATGACCATATAATAATTTAAAATCTGAATTATTTTAATTTAATTAAAGCATGCAGATAACATACTTGTACATCAAAAGAGTATTAAGCTTGCAGACTTTGGATTATCAAACAAAATTGAAGAAACAAATAGCATTATGGAAATATTTGGGATAGTTCCTTATATGGATCCAAAAATGTTCAATAATAAAAATAATATTAATAATCCAAGCGAGAATTACAAGCTTAATAAAAAATCTGACGTTTATAGTATTGGAGTTCTTATGTGGCAAATTTCAAGCGGTCGTCGACCATTTTATCCTGATGGTACAAAATATGACATAAGTTTGGCGTTAGCTATACAAGCAGGGGAAAGAGAAGAAGTTATTGATAAAACCCCTATTGAATATAGCAACTTATATATGGGTTTGTCATATTATTATTAATAACGCTCAACAATTTTTTTTTTTTTTAAAAAAAAAGAATTAAAACAATTATAATTTTGTTCATTCATTTATTAGATTGTTGGAAAGGTGAACCCGACGAGCGCCCAAGTATACAGGAAGTTGCTTCGGCCCTTAAATCCCTTAAAGTAAAGTTCCATAATGTGCCGTTGTTGAGCGCAGAAACACAAAGTCTTTTGGCGGAAAAAAGAACAAACCACCAAATCACTTTCGATGTGAAATTAAGCAAAGAAATTTCAGATATAAACAAGGACTTAATAATAACAAATTTCATTGAAGATGATACTATTTCAAGCTTACAATGTCATGAAACTGATGAAACGTTTGCCGTTATTATTGATGAGTTAATTAAGATAATAATTGAAAAGCATAATAAAGGTATTAATTTTGATCAAGTTCAACATTTCGTCGATCAACAAATAGAGCGATTGAAACAAGATATAAATAAAATCATAAAATGGTTATCAGAAAATCAAGTAAAAGCGCAATATATTTGGTTTTTAGGATTATTTATTTATTATATTAATACAGAAGAGAATAAAAGCAATGGATATCATTTATTTTTAAAAGCATCCGAAGAGAACTTTTCATTAGCTCAAGTTTATCTTGCCCAATGTTTTAATGTCGGACATGGAATAGAACAGAATCAGTGTTTAGCTTTTAAATGGTATCAAAAAGCTGCGGAATGTGAAAACATTCTTGGACAATTTTATCTGGGGAGATGTTATGAACATGGTATCGGAATTAGAAATAACTTGGAAATGGCCTTTTACTGGTATAAAAAATCCGCAGAGAATGAAAATAAATTTGCACAATATAACTTGGGCACGTTTTATGAAAATGGAACGAACGTTGAAAGAGATGAAATTAAAGCCTTTGAATTTTATAAATGTGCAGCAAAACAAGGGTATTTAGATGCGCAATATAAAGTTGCATATTGCTATGATAAGGGAATTGGAATTGAAATTAACAAAGAAAAGGCATTTAAGTTATACAAGGATGCAGCCGATAAAGGAAATATATTTGCACAATATAAACTTGGAGTAAAATACGAAGAAGGTGAAGGAACGACAATAGATATGAGACAAGCATTTCATTGGTATAAAGAAGCAGCAGAAAATGGATGTAAAGTTGCACTATATAATTTAGGAAGATGCTATGAATATGGAAATGGTGTTAACAAAGATGAAATTAATGCTTTTAAATTTTATAAAAAATCAGCTGAAGATGGATATTTAAATGCGAAATCTAAAGTCGCGCATTGTTATGATCAAGGAATTGGAACCGAGATTAATAAAGAAAAGGCATTTGAATTATACAAAGACGCAGCCGAAAGTGGAGATAATTACGCACAAAATAACCTTGGTTTACTATATGATCAAGGTAAAGGAACCGAAAAAAATTTAGAGATGGCATTTTATTGGTTTAAGAAGGCGGCAGAAAATGGAAATAAATTTGCACAATATAGTTTAGGATTATATTATGAAGAAGGGATAAGCATTGAAAGTGATAAATTTAAAGCTTTCGAATTTTTTGAGAAATCTTCTAAACAAGATTATTTAAATGCACAGTATAAAGTTGCATATTGTTATGATAAGGGAATTGGAATTGAAATCGATAAAGAAAAGGCATTTGAGTTATACAAGGATGCAGCCGTAAAAGGAAATAAACTTGCACAAAATAATCTTGCACTATTGTACGAACAAGGTGAAGGAACCGAAAAGAATTTGGAAATGGCATTTAATTGGTATAATAAAGCAGCAGAAAACGGAAGTGAATTAGCACAATATAGTTTAGGTTTAAATTATGAAATTGGAAATGGTACTGAAAAAGATGAAGCTAAAGCTTTTGAATTTTATAAAAAGTCGGCTGAACATGGATATTTAAATGCACAATTTAAAGTTGCATATTGCTATAATAATGGAATCGGTACCGAGATTAATAAAGAAAAGGCATTTGACTTATATAAAGATTTAGCTGAAAAAGAAAATGAATTGGCACAAAATGATCTTGGATTATTATATGAAAAAGGTGAAGGAACCAAAAAGAATTTAGAAATGGCTTTTTACTGGTATGAAAAAGCGGCAAAAGTTGGATACAAAGTGGCACAATATAATTTGGGATTATGTTATGAATGTGGGAAAGGCGTTGAAAAAAATGAAGTTGGCGCTTTTGAACTTTATAAAATGTTGTCTGAACAAGAGTATTCAGACGCACAATTTAAAGTTGCATATTGTTATGATAAAGGAATCGGAATTGAGATGAATAAAGAAAAGGCATTTGAATTGTACAAGAATGTAGCAGAAAAAGGAAATAAATATGCACAAAATAGTCTTGGAATTTTATATGAAAAAGGTGAAGAAATTGAAAAAAATTTAGAAATGGTTTTTCATTGGTATCATAAAGCCGCAGAAAGTAATTATGAAGTTGCACAATACAACCTTGGACTTTTATATGAGCGAAATGAAGAAAATGAGAATAATTTAGAAATGGCTTTCTTTTGGATTCAAAAAGCAGCAGAAAATGGAAATAAATTAGCACAAAGTAACTTGGATTTATATAATAAATGTAAAGATGGTATTGGAAATAATGAAGCTAAAGTGCTTGAATTGTATAAAAAATTGGCCAAATATAAATATTTAGATATACAATATAAAGTTGCATATTCTTATGATAAAGGAATTGGAACTGAAATTAATAAGGAGAAGGCATTTGAATTATATAAAAATGCAGCTGAAAAGGGAAAAGGACTTGCACAAAATAATCTTGGATTATTGTACGAACAGGGCGAAGGAACCGAAAAAAATTTAGAAATGGCTTTTGATTGGTATCAAAAAGCTGCAGACAATAAATATGAAGAAGTACAAGAAACCGAACAGAATCTAGACAAACATTTTTATCATATTCAAAACGAAATGGCAAAAGGGAATAAATTAGCTCGATTCTTACTAGACTTATATTATGATTATGAAGCTTTTGAATCTTATGAAAAGTCAGCTAAATATGGCTTTATAAACGCACAATTTAAAGTTGCATTTTGTTGTAATAAGGGAATCGGAACTGAGATTAATAAAGAAAAAGCATTTGAATTATATAAAAGTTTGGCTAAAAGTGAGAATAAATTTGCTCAAAATAACCTTGGATTATTATATGAACAAGGAGAAGGGACCGAAAAAAATTTAAAAATGGCATTCGAATGGTTTAAAAGAGCTGCAGAAAATGAAAATAAAGTAGCACAATATAATTTAGGTAGATTTTATGAATATGTCTTTGTGGATAAATTTAAAGCCTTTGAATTTTATCAAAAATCAGCTGATCAAGAATATCTAGATGCACAATATAAAATTGCATATTGCTATAATATAGGAGTTGGAACAGAAATTAATAAGGAAAAAGCATTTGAACTATTTAAAGAACCAGCAAAAAATGGAAATAATTTGGCTCAAAATAGTCTAGGATCATTATACGAAAAAGGTGAAGAAACCGAAAAAAATTTAGAATTAGCGTTTTATTGGTATAAAAAGGCAGCAGAAAATGGATCTAAAGCTGCACAATCTAATTTAGGTAGATGTTATCAAAATGGATTGGGAGTCGAAAAAAATGAAGTTAAAGCTTTTGAATTTTATAAAAAGTCAGCTGATCAAGGATATCTAAATGCACAATATAAGGTTGCATATTTTTATGATAAGGGAATTGGAATTGAAATCGATAAAGAAAAAGCGTTTGAGTTATATCAGGATGCAGCAGAAAAAGGAAATAAACTTGCACAAAATAATCTTGCATTATTATATGAAAAAGGTGAAGGAACGGAAAAAAATCTAGCATGGGCGTTTTATTGGTATGATAAAGCGGCGAAGGATGGAAACGAAGTTGCACAGTATAATTTAGGTTTATATTATGAATGTGGGAAAGTCGTTGAAAAAAATGAAGTTAAGGCCTTTGAATTTTATAAAGAGTCGGCCGAGCAGGAATATTTAGATGCACATTATAAAGTTGCATATTGTTATGATAAAGGAATTGGAACTAAGATTAACAAAACAAAAGCAATTGAATTATATCGTTACGCAGCTGAAAGAGGTAACAGACTTGCACAAATTAATCTTGAATCATTAGATAAACAAGGTAAAGGAACTAAAAAAAAAATCGTAGAATTGTACAAAAGAGCCTCTACTAAATTGAATGGTAGCATTGAATTAAGGAATACTTAGTTTATTTTCAATTTTCGGGAAATTAAATAAACAATTATAAATATAAATTCGAATTACAGGTTAAAAATATCTAAAACTTAGAAAATATACTAACATTCTCAAGCTGATTTCTTTTATGTCCAGAGACTTATCATTGAATTTTTTATAAATATGCAACTTTTCGGTATTATCCATTCTTTTCGTTACCATTTTGTGACATTAAGCAAAAATTCGCTAATGACCCATATCATGCGATCACAAAATACGTAACGTTTATTTTTCATCGCGGACGCAGAGATTTCCTATACATATTGAATTGCATTTGGTGTTACAAGAGATCGGCATTTACGAACGACGCTTGAAAATGTCGAAAATGTCAAAAATGTCATTTATATTAATTATATCAATTATATGTGTTAAAATAATTATAATAGTTTTCGTTTTTATATTTGTTTTATTGTATATATTTATTAAATTATAATTGTTATTTTGATATATCCGTTATTTATTATATTTGATATATTCGTTATATTTAATTTAAATTAGTATTTAGAAATTTTGTATATAAACCCCGAAAATTCGCTTTGTTTAAAGAATAAGGTTGACGAGTCTTGAGAAGAGACGTCCGAAATCTTGAGTTAATAAAGTTCCACGTTACACTTTTCAAACTTTATCGTGCCTCCATATAGACTGACTAATAACCAATCGTATAAATAAATACAGGCCTTAGTTAGATTTAATCGTTGTTTGGTAACCTGGTTTTGGTTTAAAATCGGGCTAACACCGGAAACTCGGAGACTTTAATGAATAACATGAAGCAGGACAAATAGTTACTTAAGAAATTGCTTTTTGATTCCAAACAAATTAATGGAAAATCTGACAATCGGCTTTTCTGATTCTTCATCTAGCTTGATTAAACAGTTGGGTCTTGTTTTAAGCAAATTTTGAAATGATTTGGGAATGAATGAAATATGCGATTTAGCAACTTTATGTTTGGTTGCCTTTCGATTATTACACTGTGTAAATGTTGATATTCACCAATCAAAAATCTTTTCTTATTTTAACCAATCAAACGTTGACGCACGTCAGC